AAAAAAGAGAGAGAGAGAGAAGGTTTCCTTCATTCCCTCAATCTGATGTGACAGACCAGTGACATGAATAATGGACGCCTTCCTTTCACAGGCAAATCGATTTAATTTAGCATGCCTTTCCGCCACCACACAGCTGCAATCCTGCAAATTCCTTGACAGACTTCAAGGTTCGAAGAAATGTTTGGGACCAGCATTTATTTCTGTCCAAACAGAAATGTTTGAGGTCATTTAAAAAAAAAAAAAAAGGCCCAAGTTGTAGATGAACTTTATTCATTTCTTTGCTAATACATTCTTTTTCCTTTTGCTCGCTTCTTTGTTTTATCCTTTTCTCCCACTACCTCCAGCCAGTTTAGGATGACATACAGGATTTCTTATCCCATATTATCTGCACGACAATCCAGTGAGGTAGACTAAGCCTAGAAGAGGTGATTTGACATGGTGACACAGAAAGCTGCACAACTGAGAAAGGATTTTCACTTAGGATGCACCTAGACTGTAGAAATAATGCAGTTTGACATTATTTTAACTGCAATGGCTGCATCCTGCAGAAGCTTGGGATTTGAAGTTCTGCGAAGCACCAATATTCTTTGGCAGAGAAGGCTAAAGACCTTCTAAAACAACAAATCCAAGTACTCCATTGGATGGACACTTAAAGTGGTGTCAAATGGCATTATTTCTACAGTGTAGATGCACCCTTACAGTTGTAAGAAAGCAGACACCTCTGAGAGGTCTGCAAGCATGATATGAGAACAATAGATGTTCTCCAGCACTTGCTCTTCATAATGGTTGAGCTGGGTCTGTTTAGTTTGGAGAAGATAAGACTGAAAGGCGACATGATAGCTATCCTTAAATATGTAAAGGGATAACATATGGAAAATTTTCTGCAGCTCCAGAGACTAGAACACCAACAAATGGGCTCAAATGACAAGAAAAGAGATTACACCAAAGTTTTGGGAAGAAATTCTTTATTGTAAGAGCTGTTTAACAGTGGAATGGACAGTGCTTCAGGAAGTGGTGGACTTTCCATCTTTTAAGGTCTTTAAAGAGAGGACAAATGGGCATATTTCAAGGGTACTTTAGTGGTATATCCCTACATGGTAGGACTAGATGGCCCTTGTAGTGCCTTCCAACTCTAATATTCTATCTGAGGATGGAGATAGCATGCAGCTTGTAGCCACTTGAGTTGTACTATCCCCTCTGGAAGCCATCAAAAGTATGGTCCATCACCACATCTTGTATCTGCAAATTCTATCTATTCTACGTGCTGTGTGAAAATAGTCCTAGTTAGCACAGTTCACTTCACTTTTGTTATCTTCTAACAATATAATTGTGTATTTTCACACCAGGGGGAAAAAGGAGGTACATGTGAGGATGTAAGTTTTGGAGATGGCAGAATCTAATCCTTACTTCTACTGACCTTGGCCAATAAGACCTACTCAATCTCAGTCTCCTCTATCCATGGTCATTTTTGGCCCATCACTCTTGCATTTGACAGAAAGTTGTGAAGCCAGCTTTTATAGGAGTGAAGGAGGAATTTGACATTTAGTTCCATAGAAGGCTGTTTCCCCTTCCCACCACCAATAGAAATCTGAGCAGTAATCCATTAATAGATTCAAACAATTCATTAATGGCTGATTAAAATGTGGCTTCTTAATTGAATTTTAATTGCGGCCAGCTTTTTAAGTGATTTCCACTACCAATGTGCATTTTTAAAGAAAAATAATTTGCAAACCATTTCTCTTCTCAGAATCGCATTGGACATTATCACATCATTGCCCCATTCTCAGCTCTCAAAGAGAGACAGTATGGTGTAGTGGTTTGAACGTTGGACTACAACACAAGAGACCGGGTTTCAATTCCCCACTTGGCCATGGAAACCCACTGGTTGACCTTGGGAAAGTCATATTCTCTCAGCCTGAAAAGAAGGCAAACACCTCTGAACAAATCATGCCAAGAAAACCAGTGATAGGTTCAACTTGGGATCACCGTCAGTCAAAAATGACTTGAAGGCGCACAACAACAGCAAATACATCAACAACACAACTCTCTTGGCTGTTACTCAGTAGAGAGCATAAACCTTTTATCCTGTAATCCTATCAGTAGGCACTGGTGGCTTCTGGTCACTTCCATGTCAGAGGCTCCACTAGATTTTATTTATTCTGGATCTTATTTTGAACTTTAAAAGACCTATCCAAGTAGATGACCCCTCAAATAGGTTCAACCTCTTGGGTAGGTCTGCTAAACCCAGAGCAGACTTACCACTAGGGATGGGAAGGGCAGAACTAGATAAGATCCTAAAGAATAAAGAACTAGATAAGATCCTAAAGAATAAAGACATCCTAAAGAGTCAAGAACCAAAGTCAGAATTGTAGTATTCCCCATCACCATGTAATGCTGTGAGAGCTAAACAGTGAAGAAGGTGCATAGGAAGAAAATCAACTCATTTGAGATGTGATGCTGCTGGAGAAGAGTGATGAGAATACCATGCAGAGCCAAAAAGACAAACAAGTGGTTTCTTAAACAGATCAAATGAGAACTCTCCCCTGAAGCAAAGATGATGTAACTGAGGCTAATGTACTTTGGCCACATCATGAAAAGACATGATGCACTCAAGGAGACACTAATTCTTGGAAAGGTGGAAGGTAGTAGAAAAAGAGTAAGACTGCATACTAGATGTCTAGATGTCTGAGGAAGTAGACTGAAGTCTACGAAAGCTCAAGCTGCCAATTTCTTTCTTTCAGTTAGTCTCAAAGGTGCTACAAGATCTCTCTACATATATATTCAATTAGGGAAGTCATGGACATAAATCTATAGGACTTGAGTAGAACAGTGGAGGACAAGGGGCTTGGAGATGTCTCATTCACAGGGTTGCTATGAGTTGGTCCCAACTCAAAGGCAGCTAATAACAACAGAAGACACCAACTGCCCTGACTCCTAACTGTGTTTACCCAGAAATAAGCCCTACTGTATTCAATGGCTCTTACTCCCAGGTAAAATCAGTGTGTTCAGGGTTACAGATTTAAAACAGTATGTAAAGAGATCTTGTAGCATCTCTGAGACTAACTGAAATGAAGAAGTTGGCAGCATGACCTTTCAGTCTACTTCCTCAGATGCATGTAGTGGAGTGGAAACCAGGGACATACCAATAGCATATACATGTCTGTCCCTGGTTTCCATTCCACTATATGCATCTGAGGAAGTAGAGTGAAGTCTACGAAAGGTCATGCTGCCAACCTCTTCATTTCAGTTAGTCTCAAAGGTGCTACAAGATCTCGCTACATACTGATTCTATGGACTAACACGGCTATAGATTTAAAACAGTCTCCTAAGACTGGCTCTTATTGAGATAGTGTCCAATTCCTTTTTTTTTTTTTTAAATGGAAGGAATACATTTTTAACCCCTGGTTGGGTAATGCCGACTGTTTTCAAGGTTGACTGTTTTATGGATATCTATTCTTTTGTCTCCCTTTCCCCAAATAATTAGGATAGCAGCTGTGTTAAAATGCCACCGTTAAAAATGCAAATCAGATTCAGACCAAGTCGTCAAAGGCAAATGGGCACGACAAACCTAACGAGCTGAACAAAATGTACTCTGCTGTTTTCCAGATTATTTCAATTTGGGAGGAAAGGACAAGGCCGCTGGTGAAAGGGACCTTCATACCCCCAGGTCTCCATGTAATAACTGGTTAATCAGCCAATTAGGGGGAACAAACAATTACGAATTGGAAAGGAGGCAGAAAGGACAGCTCCTTTAAAAAAAGAAAAGAAAAGTGGTCAAGGTACGACCTAATCCTTTCGAAAGAATTCCTAGCATTAACCCCTAAAGAATTATGCTTGACCATACCTGAATTCATTTTCTCGTCTCTCCCCCTCCCAGCTACATCTTAGGATGGTTAATTGGCTGATGAACTAGCAATTACTTTCCCGTCTTGCTCTAGATACAAGTCCTTTTCAAATGGGGAATTTTTATGGACAGAGGATTTTTCTTCCCCAGAGTAAAACCATGCTTGCAAATGGGACTGCAGCAACAGCCATATAAATCCAAGGCTTCTGATGAGGTGGGGCATTGTTTCAAGAGTTTATGATCAGTAGACTCAAGACCATTATTGCAAATAATAGCCCAACCAGCTCATTCCTGTGCATGTCCTTACCAGTTGTACTCTCACTTACCCTACTCTGAAGGCACCAGAGCTTGGAAGCTAAGCAAGGTTACTCAGTACTTGGATGGGGGAACCACCAAGGAATAGCAGGTGAGGCAAGCTCTGTTTCAGAGGAAGTTAACAGCAAATCACTTCTAAAATTCATGGGCTCACGTAAGATGACAGGTGACCTGAAGGCACACATACACACACATGCAATGAAGATGTAACCGGTGGCAGCTGGTGGCTTCCATGTCAGTGGGATGATTAGTCTGGATCTCTTCCAGACAAAGTGAATATGTTGGAAGGCTATGGTATTTGTTTCTGAATTGTGTGTGCATACACACACAGTCAGCCCTCCATATCAACCCAGATTTTTATCGACAGATTCAAGTATCCACAGCTTGAAAATATCCCAAAAAGATATAAATTCCAAAAAGCAAACATTGATTTTGCCATTTTATATAAGGGACACCATTTTACTACCCTTTTGTACATAATGGGACTTGCCCAGAAATGCCTAGAGAGTTATTCTCACTATGAATCTCTAGGTCCTCCAGCATGACTCTGTGGTCAACTTCCTCCAGAGGTCATTTATTTCAATAGGATTTCATGTTTCTATGGTAAGTCCAGGCACCTCTCCCCCTTGGATCCAGAGGTCATACTGTATCCCTTTCACATGAGTGGGAAAGCCCTGACCTGATGTGATGTTTCCAGTTCTTCCTTTTCACCTACATTATAATTTTCCTATCTTGCTCCCATGTTATTGAGATGATGACTCTTCTTTGGCTTTTAAATCAAACTTTGATGGAGCTGTCCAAGGTGCTGAACCTATTTTGGGACCAGAGTACAGAATCTTAAACGTTCATCCTGAAAAATGAACAAATTCACTAGCCAGCCAACATGGAAGCCAACAGTCGCCAGCAATCAGCTACGCAAGTGAAGCAGCAGCTTCCAGGGGCAATGGCATCCCACCTTCCAGATGCTAAGCAGTCTTGTTATTATTATTATTATTATTATTATTATTATTATTATTATTATTTCTTATACCCCACCTTTTGCCTTGGCAATCAAGGTGGCTTACAAGTACGAATACAGATTGAAAACATACATGCCATAAAACCGTAATTCAATACCCCCCCTTAAAACTAAATGCAATAATAAAAGCATAAAGATTTAAACAACATACAATCTGGGACACTCTCTTGCAAATTTTACGTGCCACACAACTAGTTTTTCTCTCTCTAAACATGCGTGCTGCCTTTATGTGTGCCTACAAGGTCTTCTATTCCATTGCTGGAATGGAACTTGCCAACTCAGTCCATTCCTGCACATGGAATAGTGAAGGTTGCCATTGTGTCCTTTGACTCAAGCTTCATAACATCTTTGGAGGAGTCCCAGGCAGGACTATTGCCTTCTTACCCACTTTCTTCAACTTCAAACACTGCCACGTACAGGTTGGGATGATAAGAATTCAATTCCATACAATTCCAATGAGGTGCGGGGACATACATTTGGCCCCCATAGCTCTTGAAGACTGAGGAATAAAACCAATTGAATCTGCCATTTCCCCAGGGCTCAAAGTGGCATTGTCTCACCATCGAAGCATACAAGCCAACTCTAGGGCCAGTGTTCAGGGCCAGTGCATTTTTCCAGTTGAGAACCTCGTTCCTGCTGTTTGCTAAAGACATGGTCATGTAGGCCAAGCTGGCTTTCTGAATGCTTCCTTCCAATTAGCTCTGTCCTGCTGGGTTCCAAGCAAAGAAGGGACATCATGTGAACCTTCAGGGAGGCATGGCCTCCTTGTGAGCAAGTCCATTCAGAGACGGCATCCGCGAAAGTGAGGGCCCTGGGAAGGAGGTGATATCACAGTCCGGCCTCCTCTGATCAACGGCCATGACCACCAATGCTGGGGATTGTCAAAGGACACAAGACACAACCCGACACGCCAAGCACATTGCACAGCTTCCTTCACTATCAAGGGCTTCCCCATTTCATTTCATTTTTAAACAAACAGGGTCCAGAAAATCCCAACATGTAGCAGAGTTTGGGCTGCAAAGAGGAAACCTGGGGCCTATGGGCCACATGTGAATTTCAGTGGCTTTTTTTGCAGCACTCCAGTGCTGCCCCCCCCCCCCCCCCCCGCAAAAAAATAAACACTCCAAAATGTCCACATCCCTAAAATGTCCAGGAAAAACAACAACCCAGGAATGTAAACAGAGGTTATATCCAGTTGCATTTTCAGCCTGTTTCAAGGGTACTGTATCCCACTGCAAGGATGAAGCGCCAGCATTCACAGTTGCCTGCCCCAGAATTAGATATTGGAGAGGGGGAAGATGAGACATCATGGAAACCTCAGGTTTTGGAGCAGCCATGGTTGAAAAGGACGATGGTCTGCCCATCTGTAGACTCCTCCTGCTTCAGGGAAGCTACTCTTATCAATTTATTCTAACTCCTGGGGTAGAAGCAGCTCTCATACCCTTGAACTGTCCTAATATGGCAGCGACAATCCTGCATAATCCTTTGCTGTTCCACTTTTTCAGCTGCTTTTAAAATGTCCCAGCTTCTCCCTCCTGTTCCCAGTTCCTCCTTGGTTCTCAGCTTGCTTCAATTTCAGGAAAGGTAGTTCAAAGGAAAAAATGAAGGGATGGTATCTTGTCATTCCCTAGCAGGCTCAGACAAAAGCAAACTGCCACAGCCTTTCCTAATTTCTCTCTTCTTGTTCTTCATGA